CATCTAAAATTCATGCTGAATGACCTGCCGTGGGAGCGAGTTACCAGTGACCCAGGGCTGCAGCGGAAGGAGGGTGGCAGGTGGGGGAGGAGAGCCCAGGGCTGGGGCGTGCAGGAGGTGTGTGTGTGTGGTGGGGGGGGGAAATGAGGGAGCCCAGGGCTGGGGCAGCAGGGGGGCACGGCGAGGAGCCCAGGGCTGGGACGGGGGCAGCCAAAATTTTTTTTGCTTGGGGCGGCAAAAAACCTAGAGCCGGCCCTGTCCCCATTCACCCCTCAATGCCCCCTGCCCCTCAGAGGCCCTGTCCCTCTTCAGCCCCCTGCCGGTTTCCACCCCCCTCTGACTCCCCACATGTTGCTATCCCACCCCTAATCCCTCACATTCACTGCAAACCATGGGGGCTTTCCTCTGCCCAATGCAGGGAATCGCAGTCAGCCCCGCTGGGAGCAGCCTGGGGCATCCCCCTGCCCCTGCAGACAGGCTGCACCGGGAGCGTCTCTCCCTGGGGAGGGGGGCAGGTCTCACCTTCTCTCCACGTGGGGCTCTGCCTGGGAGCAGGGCTCTGGGTCCCAGTAAGGGGGGGACGGGACAGGCTGGGGTCTCTACACTGGGAGAGTCTCTCGGAGAGTAGCCGGAATGTTCCTCCCCGGCCTGCAGCCAGGGCTCTGGGGGTCTTGCAACAGAATCACTGCAGCGACTGCAATTCACTTCCTGCTGCCAGGCTGAGTGACCCCGGGAATCGCTCTGCCCGGCGCCTCCTGGGTCCTAGCGAGACCGGATGCACTGATCTGACATATGTGTGTCAGTCTGTCCGTTATTATTGTTATTATTTATTGTATCGTCACACACACATCATGTTCTGTCTATGTTATAGTGTCTGAATTTGCATGCTCTGGTTTGGCAGCTTTGCAAAGTTGTACAGTTGTGTGGGTGAATAATGTTACTGGCTATTCTGTGAGATGTGCCATGCAAGGCATGCCTGTCACAATTTGCTACCTCTACCTTTGCCCATCAATGCAGTATTGCCAACTTCAGAAGAGCAAATATCATGAGTCTGATCTCACAAAATCATGAGATTGGCTCCAAAATCATGACATTTTAATAAAAGATTATATTGTGTTTTTAGGTTAGTCCTGATTTTTGACCTTCCCCTGCCCATCACTGGTGTCTCTCACCCTCCTGCGTACTGGGTCGGGTGATTTTTGCCCCTGCTACAGAAGCTCTCAGCCCCATATCTGCCCACCAATTAAGCCTGTCCACCAGTCCTTCATCAGTTCTGTCCCTACCCAACCCCACCTCAGTTTAGACCTTCCAATGGGTGGTGTGTGAGCCTCCCCTTTGTGGAGGCTAGCCATGCAGCCCTACCCGTTCTGTTTGAGCCCCCCTATACCTGCCAGAGCCCCGAGCCCCCCCAATGCCCTCACTAGCCTCCGCCGGATCCTGGAGCCCCGAGCCCTCCCTCCCCCGCCCCCCCCCCCCCACTGGCTGGAGAAGCCCCAGCTGAACAGCCCTGGGCCACCGACCAGCCTCAGAGCCTGCCCGCCATCCGCAGCATCAGGTCACCCGCCGGCCCCAGCACTGGACTGCCCACTGATCCCAGCACTAGGTGGCCAGCCAGCCCCAGCACCAGCCCGGGGTCACAGGCTGGCCTCCAGCGGGAGCAGGAGGAGTTGATCGGTAGGGCCACTGGCGAACAGGAGGCGCTCGGGGGATGGAGGAAACCTGGCTGCCGGCACTATTTTTTTTTCCAATAGGTGCTGCAGGGCTGAAGAACCCATGGAGTCGCTGCCTATGGAGATAAATGCACATGTACACACAAAGTATCCATCATCATGGAGTAACAGACAAAGGCCGACATTTCCCAAGACCCAAAGGAGTCTGCCTACAAAACAGACCTTGAACCCCGTGTCAATGCAGGTTAATAACACAAACCTGCCAAATACTCCTGGTTTCTCTTCTCTCTACTCAATTTAAATCCGAGGAGCTTTTCTCTCTCTTCCCTCAGAATCATCAGCTTGATCTGGATTTTTCCTGAATCAACAGGCATGATTCACCTGATTTGATTTTTATTGGTTAAAAAAAAAAACCCCCCCCCTCAAACACCAGCAAAAATCAGACTCCACTGCTGACTGGAGAAGGTCTATGATATCAGAGATACTAAGGAAGTCAAATCATATTAATGGAGACTGGGAGCGTTTTATATTCAGACTGAAATTATTTGCCCTCGTGTCTCCACTGATTTACACCAACATGAAGCTGGGGTCACACCCTTGGATTTTCTTTCACTGTGTAAAACAACCTGTTTTTGAGAAGGTTTAACTAAGAAAGTGACAAATCCCAGAAGCCCCAGGGTTAGAAATCTGGGCTGGGAGTCTCATTGGAGCCCAATTCCCATCGAATTTCAGACCTGAAGCCCTGGGGATGGTACTGTCTGGACAGAACTGGTCTTAGCACTAGGACACCCCCATTAAACATGTGATTTTTGTTTAGAATAGTTGAGGTTTGCTCTAGTGCTGTCCTGAACTCTCCCAGTGGCAATGCCGCCTGGGCAGCTATTCCACAGCTCCCAGCAGCAGTGGGTTCTAGAGATTTCAAAATGCCACACTGTGGGAGAGCAGCATAAGGGCTAATGGAACCATTGTAGCTGGTCCTTCAGACGGACACAGGGCAGCACCACCCAGGGGTTAGCAGAGCCGGCTTTAGGAAGTGCGGGGCCCGATTCGAACAGTTTTGACGGGGCCCCGGCAGGGATGACTGAAAAAAAAAAAAAAACCACATAAAAAAACATGTGGGGCTTGTACTCACCGGGCGGCACTCATAGTCTTTGGCGGTTTGTCCTTCACTCGCTCCGGGTCTTTGGTGGCACTGAAGGACCTGCTGCCGAAGTGCTGCCGAAGACCCAGAGCGAGTGAAGGACCCGCCGCTGAAGTGCTGCCGAAGACCCGGAGCGCTGCCGGGTGAGTAAAAATTAAAAAGGAGCCTCTAGCCAGGGAAAGGATTCTCGGCCACTTGCCCCCACCCCGGCAGCCCTGCCACTGGGCGCGGGGCCCGATTCGGGGGAATTGGTGGAATTGGCCTAAAGCCGGCCCTGGGGGTTAGTTTTGCTGAAATCAAGTTCAATCCCAATGAGATCTGACATGGACCTGCGCACCCCGTAGCTCTCTTGTGCCTGAGCTCAAGATACTCACGGGCCACACCATGTTTAACACAGTGAGCTCCTCTAGTGCAGGCCAGCACCTCAGTTTAACCCCTCATGGAGTAACATGGGAATTCAGAATCCCAAGGAGAAACTTCATCTCCTTTCTTGTCTTGGGACCTTTCTCAAGGAGTCTTTCCCTTCTAACAGACTGCATCACTGCCACAACTGCATGGTCTAATGGTTTGGGCACTGGCATAGGCCTTGAGAAACTTGGATGCTATTTCCCACCCTGACACTGTCCTGCTGGGTGACCTTAGGCAATTAACTTCCCCACTCTGGGCCTCAGTTTCCCCTCCCACGCTGCATGTTTCTTCTCAGATTATTTTATAATCTGTTCAAAACATGGATTGTCCCTCAGAGTTTTGTGTAGCTTCCAGCAGAATCAAGGTCAGATCTCACCTGGGGTCTGTAGCGGCTACTGGGATGCAAATGCCAGGAGGAAGCCTGCACCTGTGCTCCCCAGACTCCACATTTGAATAATGGTAGGGCTAGAGCAGGCACATGGGGTAGGGGAGCTGCATGCACAGCATCCTCCCACCAGCACTGCCACAGGCCCAGCAGGGGTCCAAGACCCCAAGAAGGAGGCAGGGGCTGCATGATCTGTGAGCAGGCACCATGGGGGAACCAGAGCCAGCTCTAGGCACCAGCACTTCAAGAATGTGCTTGGGGTGGCACCTTCCAAGGGGCGGCACTCCAGCCACCCCACCCCCCCTTTTTGTTGTTGCTGCTTGGGGCGCAAAAAGCCAGGAGCCAGCCCTGAACCAAGATGTTCCCTGTCAGCTGAGGCTTTCAGGCTGAGCTGGAACTGACTCTGCAGTTCTGGCTTCAGTAGCTAGATGGCGCTCATGGCAGCCTGAGTTGCACAGGCTGGACTGCCGCTGGAGAGCCAGAGCATCATTCCCAGGAGCTGAGCCTGGGCTGCGGCGGCGAGAGGGGCTCAGCTCCCGGGGGATGATGCTCTGGCTCTCCAGCGGCACTCCAGCCTGTGTGTGAGGAGCTGGGGAGGGAGGGAAGTGGGGCCCGGGATGCAGGGAGGGGAGAGGGGTCCTGCTGCTGCTGCTGCTCTGCTTTGAGTCTCCCCAGGGCGGTGCGGCGTTTCCCTGCCCAAAGGGGCTGTGCAGGGCGCCACCGGGCTGGGCAGGGGGTGCGGATCCCGGCTCGTGCGCTGACAGGGTGAGTGGCTGGGCAGCCCAAGCTGCCAGGGAACTGCCGCCGCCCCAGCTGCCAAGGAACTGCCGCCATCCCCTCCTGCCCCCAGACCCAGCCCGCCGCACACCTCCCCCGCCTCAGCCCCATGCTGCCTGCCCTGGACGGGGAGAGGCAGAGCCCGGCTCCGAGCGGGGCAGCAGATACTGCTCCACCAGGGGTCCCCTGTGGCTCAGGCACCTGGGGGTCAGTGTCCATCCTCTCGGCTCTGATTGCACGGGGCTGGGGAAGCAGCTGTCAGCGCCTGCCCTTCTTAGCCCTTGCACCCCCCCATCCCGCTCACAGCCCCTCCACTTGTACCTCCCCCCATCGCTCTTTCGCCGCACCCCTTCCCCTTGTACTCTTCCTTCACCCGCACCTCTCCCCTTGTACCCTCCCCCAGCCCTCTCCTCCCGCACCTCGCCCTTCCCCTGCACCTCTTCTCCCGCAACCCTCCTGATACCCCCTCTCCTCCTCCACCAGTACATCACACCCCGCTTCTCTGCCAGTGTAGAGCCACCAAGTGCCCCCACACCCGCTCCTCTGCCTGAGGCCCCTTTACTAAATCCCCATCCCTTTCCAGGTATAAGGTTTGAGGGTTAGTCCCTATGCCTTCCATGTGCATTTGGAGCACTAAAGATGGGGTTGCAGGGGCGGGGTAAGATTCATACTAAAGTGAAATAAAAATAAGAGAAACGGTTTGATCCCCACTGCAAGTGTAAACAGGGATTGCTATGGTGAACGAGGTGGTCACGTTTTTTTTGGGGGGGGGGAGCACCCAGGGCTGGGGTGGGGGGCAGCCAAACATTTTTTTGCTTGGGGAGGCAAGAAACCTAGAGCCAGCCCTGGGGGAACCCATCTGTCCACAGTATATAAGAAACCACTGACCTGGGCCTGCTGAGCCTCTCCTTCTCCCACTCCACTAGTGGTACAAGCCACAGGGTGGGGGTGGGGACGCAGGGCTGGAAACACCACACCTCCTCCCCTTGCTGCCTTTATATGCTCTGCCATTAGGGGATAGGCAGACAGCTGCTTCCCTCACCAGTTCCCCAATCCAGGATTATGGACCCTTTGCCCACTATGGCCCTAGCACTATTACAAACCTGGTACTGAAGAGCAGCCACATGGTACTGCATCCCCTTTAACTCTGTTTCACCCTCACCCGAGGGCATGTGGCTACCAAGTTCTAGCAGCCTACCAGAAGCTCCTAGTCCCCTCAACAATGCACATTGTCCATACTCTTTTGGTTCCCAGCAGTAACTAACTTCTGTACTGCACTAAAGCTCCTTTTGTATGTGCCTGTTAGGCCCTGATTGGCTGCTCCCTGCAGTCTCTCTCTGATTGGCT